ATATATATATATATATATATATATATATATATATATATATATATTAAGAATAATTATATATCTGTTCCTCATCACTACTAAGTTTCATGCATCTGATGTATTGAGGAGGATGAATTAGATATATTCAATTGCATTTAATAAACGAGGAGCACAAAGTAGATATGTTGGATTTTTATTACAGAAGTAATAAAGGGGAATAATATGGGGTAGATACTAGAAGACGTAAATTTCCTGTTTACGTATCTCACAATCCTCCTGAAATTGTGGAAGGAATTGTATATTCCAAGTTTATACATCTAGTCTCTTTCTAAGATGAGATTATTGTCAATTTTTAAGATGGCGAGAGGTAATTGGATGCTTTTGTTGTTGTGTTCAACTAAAGCCAACACCAGACCTCCGGGTTCAATTAGTTTGTTGGTATGTCTTCATTTGGGCTGTGGTTCTTTTGAGGATGGGTCTTGTGGAAAATATCCATTTATAATCCTTTTATGTCATCACTGGAATTGCTGCCCCAATATCAAGTTCCATCTTCACAGACTGATAATCCAGTTACAGTGATAAATATTTTGCGTGAACCATCCATATAAAAGAGTTCAAATTCACTGCCTCCATCGTTTGTTTGTAGCTTGTAGAGATTTCTGTTGCTATCTCTTTTTTACTGTAGACTTGCTTAGATCTACACATTGGCTGGATGTAACCACTTTTGTAGCTTAATTAGCAAACCACCTCCTTAAACTATCCGTTTGCCTGTTCGTATTTCATCTTTCCACAAGAATTACAAGCTGGAAAATTAAGGACTTTTCTCTTTTGTTATCTTTGTCTTCTTCCATCAATCTCTGACTTCCTGAGGATGTGTATTGTCCTTCTGGGCCATTTCTTTGGAGGTAGTGATAGAGTAAGCCTTATATGATAAAGAGTCTTTTTGAAGAAGTTGCTTTTGGGTCATTTCGCACTTTAGACCACACACTAGTCTGTCCCATAAGGCATCCTTTAAATAATTATCGAAGTTACAATAAACAATTGTTTTATAGCTGCAATAAAATCTGATTCTGTTTCGGAATTTTCCTGTTTCCTAACGTGGAATCTATATAGTTCCATGATTTCAAATGGCTTTGGATAAAAATGTGGAAAGAGTAATGTGCACAACTCATCGTATGAGGGTAAGTCAGGGGCTGATAAAATACATAGAGTCACATACATCTTGGGACCAACAGAAGAGAGAGGAACTGACGTATGTTTGTGCTCCGAAATGTCATTTACAAACTTATATGCAGACGCATATAAGGTTGTAAATGTAAATTTCTTTGTAGTTCTGAAAGTTCTCCGTCAGTTTGTCAAATATGTCGGGTCTAGGCATGTTTATCTCTGTCCGATATAAGTATGGTTAAACTTGTTGTTATCAATCAAAATATTTGGTAAAATTGTTAAAGGATTACCTTGCAAAGTTATTATACAGACACCTCACCATTTGTGATGCATTGAGGGAGAATGTAATGGATATATTCAATTGCATTTAATAAACAAGGAACACATAGGGGACATTTTTATTACGGAAGTAATAAAGGGGAATATATGGTAGACAGAAATACATGATACTCGTGGTGTATCTCACAATGCAAATTTGATGTGTATCATTACAGAAATCAATTGGGATAAAAAGTATAGCCCCACCCTTCCCTAAGGAATTGGTTTACGAGTCGGTTTTAGTACGCATGTAAGAAGAAAAATTTTGCTGCTGCTGAGAAGAGATAAGTCCACGCAGTGACCTGATTAAAGACTACTGTTGTTACTGATGAAGAAGAATCTTCTAAATTCTCATGATACGAATAACTATCATAGACTTGTGAGAATTTATTTCCAATTTGAGGACGCCTGTTCCAAAATCCTTCGCCGAGATAGCTCAACTTTTTCTCACCCACTTCGAATTTAAACTTTCAAACTTTGACTTTGACTCTGCGATATGTTGAATTGTTGACTTTTCAAAATAAGTAAATTTCTTTTGTAGCTAAGAAATTGATTTGTATGAACTGTTTCTCTAAAAGAAAGTTGTTAAAATCCTTATGTTCTTAAGGAAAACATTTGCATTTACACGAATTGAAGTTTTTAAAAGTAAACTGATTTGTATTTTAAATTAACTGTTAACCTGCCTCGATAATTTGATGCGTTCAAGGTAAGTTTTCTGCAAGTCCTATATTGTAATTTGTACAATTTGTGCATTGTAACATATACTTTTGTCATTCTAATAAATGTTTGTTTCTCTGATAAATATACTTGCGTCTTTTTCGTTTGCGTCATTCAAATTACTCAGGATAAGAGATTTAATGTTTTTCTCTTCTCCTTTTCTCCCAATAAATCCTTTTGACATGGCTAAAGCAAAATCACTAACGCAAAATACGACCGAGTCATTTATCAAGTAAAACTTTAATTCACTTCTCTTTTCCACATCTACTAATGCGTATTCAGTTTGCTGCATAGAAAACTATGGTCGTATTCAAGTTCTATAAATATGAGGATAAATTTTTTGCTCTTAAATGTCTCACGTCTTTGTCAGTTTTAACTCATGAACAAACTTACTATATCTCGTGTATAGTATTGCCTATATTGGAATGGTTAGGTAAATTGTTTCTACTAGTCTTCCAATAATTGCTGATTTCCGATGTGATACGCATTTTATCTAACTACAAGTTTATATAATATCAACTCTTTTAACGTAGTTTTGACATGTGTAATGAGATTTATATCGTTTTCTATTGGCTTGTGCAGCAAGTTTTTTTTTATCGGAAGGCTCTAGGATAAGTTTTATTGCTAGTGAGTTTATATATTAATTGATGTTGTTTATGAACTACAAAACACGTCGAACTTCGTGCTAGTCCTCCTTCAATAAGCAGAAAAATATCATATATGTTTAGTCCAAAATTGCAACATTCTGCTAGAGAAACCTTTCGTAATATCTCCTTTCTAAGTAGTACACCATTTTTTGCGCTTTACATCAGTCGATAATTGAAATACCATATGGCTGTTTTTATCATTTTGCTACGCCTCAAAATTGGCCTGTAAGCAGTCATCTTTATCCATCAACTTATCTCCCAAAATGTTGGACATGTAAAAGAAGTGTATGGATACAAAAGGTGATTATCTCCCTTTCGTGGATATAAGTCACGTGGGTCACATTACGGTCGCTTAGTGACGTCACTTCATACAGTGACGAGAGTGGACAGGCATTCAATTTGTTTACAGCAGGCTAACCCAAGTGATTTTTTTAGGTGGGTGGCTCCTCCAGCAAATGCTACAGTTTACAAATCCATGGTAACGTTTCACTTTGGGAATATATCTTTCCAAGATATAGAAAGAAACTCCGGCTTGCAGTCCTCAATTTGAGAAAACCCAAGACTCGCTGTTTCCCCTTTGCGGAATATGTCCTCGCTTGGGACACAATAGATGAATCCGGCCCGTTTGAATCTGAAGTCCTAAACATATCTTCGCCAGACACAAGATTATCTCCATATTATATGTAAGACCCTTTATTTTTATTTCTCCTTGCACTATGATTTGCTGTGTAAATATATATATGATATATTGTTTAGGAAAACAATATTTATATATAGTTTTGTGTATATCATAGTAGAATAAAAGTCTCTCCTTCCTTTCAGCCATTCCGTACCGTCCTTGAAATACGGCGTTATTATATTATGTATATAATAAATCCAAAATAAAATTTTTGTAATGTTTATTTTGTTTATCTTTGACTAGTGGCTCATTATCGCCGATTTTTTTTATTCTTATCTATTATTAGTTATATTCAAAGATTCTTTTACAATATTTAGTATGAATTTTAATTCTTTATTTTTTCTTAATTATTAATTGCAATTTTAACGTAATTTCAATTTTGTTGAAAAAGCTTTACCAGTTATAACGTTATTTTGTTTCGTTTACTGCTAGTCATTTTGTTTTATTATTTATCTTTCAACTATTTAAAAAAAATAACAGCAATAATAATAAAATATTCTCATATATTAGATAATAATTTTATACTTTTTCATTATTATTATTTAAAAAGTATAGCGATATATTGGCATATTTGATGGACTGTTTACTCCAACATCCAGTGTAAAATATATGTTTTATGCGTGTAGGAGGCAGTGCTAGAAATAGTACCTTTGTTGTTCAGCTTATTATTACGGTGTACGGGCAACACTGGTCTTCACATCCCCCCCATATATATATATATATATATATATATATATATATATATATATATATAAAAGAAATATAGTTTATGGTGTGGTATATTTATGGGATAAAGTGCTCAATATCAGAGATAGAGTGTATGTAAATATAAATATAAAATGAACATTGAAGTCAACACTTAGAGTTCTGAGTGTTGACTTCAATATATATATATATATATATATATATATATATATATATATATATATTGGTCCTTGGTAAGATGATAAACTACATACGGCAGCAAGACCTCTGATCAGGAGGTTTTGAGGAGCATGGAACCACCTCTTAATTGCTGTTGCTCCTAGTGGTAGTACCTGTTAGGGAACCAGCTATGTTCAAATAGTTAATCCCCAAACTACATACGGCATCGGGTGGGTGGAGTTCGACAGCCTGAGAAGGCAGTTCAACTACGGGAAGGAAAACCCTTATTTCAAACCTCCGCTGACCTCCAGTCAAAAAAAAATGTTTCAGGAGTAAACCTCGAGGAAAAATCCGGAGATGGATTCCCTAAGGCAGTTCGCCGTTGTACCCAACCCATTCTGGCAGCTCCTGCGACGGTACCGGTCCCAAACTGTAGCGACCTTGTCGTTCCTTTGGCCTCACCGGTGACGTGGAGGGGGGGGACCCGCTACATGGGCAACAGCCTGTCCTCCATATCACATCGCCCAGGCTTGCATCCGACCACACCACACTGCACCAAAACACCCTGCACTAAACCTGGAGAAGACACTCCATCTTCTTTGGCGTCGACACAACATGAAAAACGGCAGTTACCGGTTATAAGCTACCACTCGATTGGCGTAGAGCCCATCTCCAGGGGTCGTTCTCGTCGGTGGGAGAAATTTTAAGATCGCAGCGCCCAGCCAGTGAGGTGTTGTTCCGCCACGGTCTGCCGTCTTCATTGGGTGCAGGGAGAAGAGCCCCGAAGAACCAGGCCAACACAGGGTGTGCTTCGCAGTGAGGAACAGCCTGCTGAATACTGTAGAAACAACGGCTCCGAGAGACTCCTTACTCTCCACCTCAGCAGCACCGCAGGTCCTGTCACCTTCGTCAGTATGTATGCCCCGACACTCTCTGCCACACTGGACACCAAGAACGAGTTTTATGACAAGCTGGCAACCACCATCAGCAGTATCCCCAGAAAGGAACAACTTCTGACTTCAACGCCAGAATGAGTGCTGATCATGATTCTTGGCCTTCGTGCTTTTGACAGTTTGGCGTCGGCAAGATGAACGACAACGGCCAGAGACTGCTCGAGCTATGCACTTACCACAACTTGGGCACACCCAACTCTTTCTTCAGGGCCGAGCCCCAAGAACAAGGTCTCCAGGAGACATCCACGCTCAAAGCACTGGTACCAGCTGGATCTCATACTGGCCAGATTAGGCGCCATTAAGAACGTTCTTCACACACGTTCTTACCACTGCGCGGACTGCAATACAGACCATTCCTTGGTGTGCTGCAAGATCTGGCTCTAGCCCAAGAGGTTCCAACGCGACAAGAAGCAGGGGAATCCTCGCATTGATGTCAGCAAGATGAGCCAGATAGACCTTGTGCAACAGTTTGTCAAGCTGTTTGTGAACGAGCGGGCAACCTCGCGGACCGGAGACTCTGCTACGGATAAGTGGGCGACTTTGCGGGACACCATGCACCGCACTGCCTTGGTCACCTTTGGGAGAAAGACCTCAAAGTCATATGACTGGTTTGAGGCCAAGCGCGCCTCTCTTACTTCTGTAAGATGCAAGCGGTCACCCAGCAAGAGAAACCTGCAGATCCTCTGAGCTGCCAGGAGCAAAGCCCATCAAACTGCCAGACAATGCGTTAACGAGTACTGTACAGAACTTAGCGAAACCATCCAGACAGCAGCAATTACAGGGAACATAAGAGGGGGGTACGATGGCATCAAGACGGCAATGGGACCAGTGCAGAACAAAACAGCTCTCCTCAAATCCACCACCTCGTATACAAGGGGCAACAGATGGAGAGATGGGTGGAACACTTTTCCCACCTCTACTCAAGGCAGAATGTTGCGACGACTGCAGCCATTGAGCGCCTACTGGTCCTGGAGGACCACGATATCGAACCGACCATAGAGGAGCTTCGCAAGGCCATTGACAGCTTGGCCTCAGGGAAGGCCCATGACAGTGACGGGATCCCCCCTGACCGGATCGGGTACTGCAAGACTGCCCTACTGCTCCCATTGCACGAGGTCCTCTAACAGTGCTGGAAAGAAGGGACCGTACCTCAGGACACGAGAGATGCCAAGATCGTCACCCTCTACAAGAACAACCACTATAGAGGCACCTCGCTTATTCAGCGTTTTGGGCAAAGTCTTCGCTCGGGTCATCTTGGTCCTCCTGCAGAAACTCGCCGAACGTGTCCATCCAGAGTCGTAGTGCGATTTCTTAATTTGTTTTCTCTTTTTAAAGCACATTTTTTTCATATGAACTTTTGCATTATACTGACTCAGCAAGAACTTTTTATGCTATTGAATGGGCATTGTTTAAACAGTCCAGTGAATATACTTTTGTAGAAAGTAGTTTCCCAGATTTCTATTAAATCAACAAAAAGCAGAATAAAAATGACTCTTGATGGCAGATTCTGGAACCTGCTTAGAGGGGGGTCTTGTAGGGACAGAAAATGCGATTATTTCCCTTTGGTCGCTTAATGACGTCACTTCATACAGTTACGAAAGTGGCCAGTCATTCAGTTTGTTTACAGCAGCCTAACCGAGCGGTTGTTTTCCTTTTTTTTTTTTGGACTGATTCAATGTTTAATGCTTTAATTGCACTTTTCAGAAGTCCCATGGAAAAGCTTAATATGACCGCCATCGACGACTCGGTGTGTTAGCTATAGATTAACCTATCGTTTTTAATTTGTACATGTCCAATAACTGGTAAGAATTTTGTGTCGATATTTCCTTAATTCCTGATACTATTGCAAATAGAGTGAAAGAGCTTTGTAAGTTTACCCTTCAGACCATTAATATATTTTTATACAGACTTATGGGTAAGATGAATTTAGGCCTACACCATTCATTCACTTTATACTTGCTGATATGGAAAATGCCATATTTAGTACTGATTTTTTGGACAGATATAGTTTTTAATTGATCTGAGATGACATTGTCTGATAGATTCTGAGACTCGCATTTCTTATACCATCCCATTATGCCCCACTGTAGCTAATACTGAGAATAACAATGTTTTTGTAAGCTTTTGGACAAATTTTCTAGCATTACTATGCAGTCTTTCTGCAAGGAAATATTGGCCTATACCATTACACACCATATTACTACCAGTGATCTTCCATGCCGCAGTCGCCCACGGCGGTTAGGTGCAGGCAAGCTGCAGGTGACTAAACTTGAATTTAACCAAATGATACACCCTTCAGACAATAGTTGGGCTTTTGGTGGACAATGTGATGGACTCATCTCTGTCACAAGGCAATTATTTACCCCATATCCCTGTATAACAGCAATTGCCCAAGTTTTACTAGCATATACCCCATCAGAATCTACCACCAGATTCTGGTAAAACTTGATATTTCCAAGATGCTATGATTGCTCCATTTGGCCTGTTAGAGTTTTTGTATGTTCCATTCAAAACAAGGAATGCAGCGTAAGTCTTTCCAGAAGTTCACAGATAATGTGTTATGTGATTTACATTTTTCTTGTACTTATGTAGATGATATTTTTATAACCAGTTCTTCAATGGAAGGAAACGTGCAACAGGTGCATCTTATTTTTGAGTTTATCCTAAAGATTGGAATTATTATCAACCCCAGTAAATGTGGGTGAGCTGGTATTTTTCTCTTCTCCTTCAAAGTGTTTCTAATTTTCCTTAATTTTTTTTTTTACTTTTAATTATCACAATGAGAACGCTGATTCCTCGAGATGATTAATTTCTATCGCAGATTTCCCCCTATACCCAGGCAGTAAAACATTTGACAAATATTTTAACAAATTTAAAATATTACATTTTTGTCTGACCCTGTTCTATCAGGTTTTCATAAAATCAATCTATTTTCACCCATGCAGTGAAATTGTCACATATTGTTTTAGGGAAAGAGTTGTGGTTGGTGGTTGATGCTTCTTCCATTGGAGTGGGTGTTGTTTTGCAGCAAAATATACTTTTTAAGAAATTGCCATTCACAGATGCCAGAAGTAGGGCCTTTGAACAACAGCTTTTAGCAGCTTATTCGGTGGCACAATATCATTCGCTACTTATTGGAGAAGTGCATCTTCCAAATTGTAACTGATCATAAATCTTTATACGGCAGTAAAGGATGACATTAAATGGTCGTCTGCTGTGATATTGTATGGCACTACAATACAATTTTTGCCCAGACTCCACAGAAAATCATGAGTCTCACTTCCTTTGTCAATCGTCTGACAACCAGCATAGAGAACTTGACATACAATCAACATGCGCTAAATCCAATTCCACGTACATGCCAAAACTTGTAAATATGTTTTTATATGCGACTCTACTAAATCACACATCATACAATCACCGTATAGAGGACTCTTCAAGATCCTCAAAAGCCAACACAAGTTCTTTGCTATACATGTTAAATATGCTGCATGGCTTGAGATGGACCTTCCAATGATTTTTTCACTCCATGTCATGTCGGATGTTTTAAAACAGACTGTGACAAGATCTGGTCACCATATTAGATGGCCAAAATGTGCTAATTTTCCTTCAGCTACACCTATCAGGACAATTTCAATGATATTATTACAGCCTGATTTGAATTTTCAAGAACTTTTCTTTCTTCATTACTTGTGAATGAACATTTTAACTGTTTACTTGGTTTGTGCAGTGTTTATTCATTTTATATTGGTTTTCAGGTGCAGAAATTTGTTCAAGTTACATGCTCTTTTACATTTCGCTATCTTTTACATTAAGTGGCAATTTTTTAAAACCTTTTTTATGTACTTGTAGAACTTACTTGCTCTTCACTTGTGTAACAGACTAACGGGGGGGGGGGGAATGGGGGCAATTGGAGCCAACCCGTCAGAGCGGCAGTATATTTCTTACCAGATTTCCATTTTCTCTTGCCTGCTATGGACAAGGTAAAATTGAAAATATTCTTTCCTAATTTAACAGTGTTAAGTTCAATAAAATCCCTAAACCAATTAATTCTTGTATATTTTCATTAAAATTCTTCAATTAAGCATCGCACATAGTTTGATGGCTTCCTTTACTGTGGCAAAGTTCAGGTGAGAGGCATGTTCATCAAAGATGAGAATCACAGGTCTTTCAGGGGGAAGGAATAGGATGAACATTTTGGAAAACCAATCATGGAAGCAATCAGTGTCCATCCAACCTTTGTCGGATACATTGTATCGAGCTCCTTCTGGACTATTTTCTGTCCATTTGACACGCAGATTTTTTGCACTATACAGAACATATGGTGGAAGCATCACTCCATCTGACCATCTACCATTTCAGGTTGTAGAGCTTGGCAGCCTTCTTGTAACCCATTGTTCCATCACAAACAAGACTGACAGCTTTTTCCATGTCTTCTGCGCTGTACTTGGCAATCTTCCTTGTGTAGTTCCTCACCATTTTGTTGCTGTAACATAAAAGAACAAAGCATAAGTTATTTAAGTATGAAAGGTTCATACAATTTTAGCTTTCTGCAATTAAAACATCCAAGCATAATATTATGATGGCATGGGGCAATTCCATAACCAAAGGGTATGGAATTGCCCCAATGACAAAATGTAGAATAATGACAAATTCACTAGTAGGAAATGGCAGGAGAGGCTAAAATATATAGAAGGAAGCCTGTTTCATGTTAAACACCTATTAGTTTGTGTGCTGGAATCCTTTGGGAAATTCCAGGGGTATGGAATTTCCCCAAGCACACGTTCATTTGACAAAGCATAAATTCAACATCAGGGCACTCCTAGACTCTTTTTAGCTTTCTTTCATGGTTTTTATACATAACTCACAGTAAATAACCAACTTAGAACAGTAGAGAGGACATTAATACAAGTATAAGGATGACTGAAAAGTGAAATTGTTGTACTTACCTTAGGATGGATCTGGATTGTGTCGCTGGATCAATTGATGTTCACTGTAGAAAGCAGATGCAGCTCCAGTACTTGGAGGGGAAGTCACCAACAAACCCATCTCCTTCTTGAGAAGAGTTCTCTAAAGTACTGAATTACTTCGCTTTAACTGAACAGCTTTTCAGCTGACAGGGTATGGAATTGCCCCAGGTATGGAATTGCCCCAGGTTACTCTACATTTCAAATGGAGCTAAAGTTTGTCCTGTGTTTTTAATTAAATTTGCTTAAAATCAAGTTAGCATTACAATGAACGGTCAAGATTTCTTCAATCTTATTTTTTTATCGTTTAACAACTAAAATATCTGTCTATATTTCTGATATGCGGTATTGTAACTATTTACATCATTTGGACTATTGTCCTCATCTTTATTGTTGTATTCAAAACTTTTCGGCCATTGTACGATCTGGCCTTCTTCAGATTTATATATGTTGGAATCTACGGTGGTAGATTGTTCTAATTCCACGTGCCTTAGACTAAATAAATGGTTTGGCTCGAAATTCCAATGTATATCACCTGATGAAAGCCTGAGCGTACAATGGCCGAAACGTCATGAATGTAGTAATAAAAATGAGGATAACAGTCTGAATGATGCAAATAGTGTAAACAACAACTAAAATGTTTATCGATATTTAAAAACAGACCACCTTTCTACCTAAGACATTGATTTATACTAATTTCTTCGTAATCCAGCAGGCAATAATAAATAAATAAAAAGCACTATGAAGAAAACGTGGAACCATTTAAGTTATATAATTGATCATAAACAACACTTATAAACGCTTATTCTGATTTCTGTAACATTTTAGAAAAAATAAAAAATAAATATAATTTTTTATGTAGAGCAATATCTGTATTATTGGATACGGTTCTAATAAAAAAAAAAAAAAAAAGACAAAAAACTGAAAGGCTAACAATTCTATTTCAAGGTTTGTGAGATTCCAAGAGGATAAGAATTCGGAACAAAAACTAAAAGTCTCTACGAATATACGGTTACAAGCCCGTCTCTCTAACCTACTTGTCTTTCTTTTACCACTCCTTCTCAGTCCATTATCTTTATTTTTATACCGCCTCAGCCAGCACTCTATTACTTACTGTCTTCCCCTTATAATTTGTTGAGGGCGCAAGCAACATTCGTTAAAATATTTCTGCTTTCATTTCTGGACCATAAATGGAAAATGAATATGAAAGGGATAGGGTATAATGGACCTCTGAAATATGCATATTCCTTAAGTCGATCTAACTGCTCTTGATTATGTTTCATCACTGTGTCGTCCATTGTAACATCAGTTTTTGTATGTTGCATTGTCTACTGACAAAGACTAAGATAGTTACACTAGAGAGAATCACATTTCATTCAGCTAGAAGAAAGTTTATTGCCAGAGCATAACAATATGAATACACTTCTCTTTCCACAACTAATGTATATTCTGAAAAACTGAGATGGAAGGAGTTCTTGAAGGAGTTGAAGAATTTGCAAAAAATGATGGTGACACGATTCCAACAAATCCGGTATCTTCAAATGGGCACTGAATTTAAATTCAACTCGGTATTTCATGAATCGGATTTCCGAAATTCATGGTAAAAACACATACACATGAAAAACCAAAAAGCAATTTGATCTTGGCTGGTCTATGGTCCTAAATATTTGGAAATCAGTCAACAGTAATCATTGGGTATTATCCACTTTTCTAAAAGACCTAGTACCCTTGCCCTCTATTTCTTATCACCAGTCCTTATTAAAACAATTCTGTGTTTCCTTTTAACTATATTGGAGAAACAACATTTAAGTAAGATCACATTTCATATTCTTTATGGCCCAAACAGTATTTCTGATTTTCTGGTGATCTTCTATACAACTTTAACAGTTTTATTTAAGTAACGAAACACACAATCCAAACTTATTTACTGGTCTACCTGGCAATCAGAGAGACAATAAAGAATAAGTATTACCTGATTTTATAGGTAAATTCTAGATTAATTCCAACTTTTAATCTCCAGCTCACCATGTACCAATTATTTGTTCTTAAACTTTAGTTTTTTACCTGGTTTAATTTTCCGTCATAGTTCAACGAGGACTATTGCATTATACTAAGCTATGATCCAAGTACTTGTTAATTGGGATTTGGAAGATATAAGCTGAAATGCATATATGTAAGAGTCACAGAGGATTAGTAGATGAGTGTGAGCAGTCATATCCACACTAGACATTGAACATTATATTCAGGGATTCCAATGTATACAGAGTCAAACAATAAATGACAAATTCACTTTTAAACCATCATCCAAGAACTTGATGAAAAAAAAAAAAAAAACACATTTTCTAATCAGAATACATGACTTCTAAATACAATTTCTCAGTATTTTTATTAATAACATTTTACTAGTGTGAATCTTCAATCTGTATGAAAAATATTCCAATGTAAATCTTTTTATTTTTACATATATAAAAGCCAATTTAGCAAAGAAAACTGAAAGATTACCCAAAGAAAGAATTTTGTATATTTTACACTGTTTTTAAATTCCAGTGTACTATTTCTGTGATGAATAAAAAAGAATTGATTTTCAACAGAAAATATTTATAACATGTGAAAATGCTGAATGTTAAAATATCTACCCATCATCTTCCATTGTAACATACAGCAAAAGCCAAGTACCATTTCCGCATCATACCATATTAGGCTTCTCTTTCTACAGATGATAACCAGTAATTTTAGATTATAATTCTCACCAGAAAATCATTCAGGAATAAAACTCCTGAATGTGTTTCAATTTCAAAGTCTGGGTGCATGTAAAATCAACAGCCACTCTAAGAAAGCTGCATATCCCCCTATAAAGAGATGCTAACAGACTGTATGTAGATCAGTTATAGAAGGATAAAAGAAAATAGCTTATCTGTTAAATCTCAGCCTATTTTATCACCATCCTGCCACATTGAGGCACATTTGAAAGTAAGGGCTCTAATTAATCTGATAGAATATTTCATATCCTTTTGCTATGACTTTGGTAGATTTAATGTTGATTTTCTTTGTCTCTTTGATTATCTAAGCAGATTTTTATTTTATTTACTAAACCCTTAAATTCCAAGATCTGAGTCCTGTAACATGTCATTTTCACAGGCCAATTATAATCTACAGATAGATGACTATTCATCAATAATGATAAAATCCACTTAACTGTCTCTTTCCAAATGGTAGGGATATCTACCTTACACTGTATGATAATCATGTCAGTCTTTTAAAATGATATACCTATATTTTTGGTGAGCCCAAATTTCATTTCTACCCATGATTTAAATGGGACAGAATACACATTGTGCCAAGAAACATGGCTGGCTAGGATAATATTATGAAAGTTCTTATATCAATTGAAATAATGAAGTTGTTGCATTGAGTAATGAGACTAAATGTTATAAGTAATATTGTATTTTATTCAACTTCTGACAATGTCACTTTCTGTTGGCTGGTGTGTACATGTGTGTAGCCCTGAGTTTCTCTTCTCAAACTTTGATCTTACATTCTCATCTGCAATGTCTAAGAGAGACTGCCCTCTCTTACTGCTGGGTTGGTTGTTTTTATTTATTATAAATCAATTCACCCTAAGCAAGGCAACAATGCCACTAAGATGCAAGGTGCTACTGGAAGTGAAAGAAAAATTTTAGAAGGAACTGGAAGCCTGATCCTAAAAAGAGAACAAGAGATAAACCTATACGTCTGTTCAAAAGGACTGGAGGGGGGGCGTAGTGTGAACTGAATGATAGGCAAACCTATCTACTATTGAGGAGAAAAAATAATTAGTAAATAAAATTTCAGTGTTCAGAAGGAAATATTCAAAGCATAGAGTTGAAGTAGTCTTTAAAAGGATTTGGAAACCCAATCCTAAACAGGAAACAAAGGATAGGGGTTCAGCTGTCATACAGTTTTGTCCCATGCTTGTAACCCAGGTGAATTTGTCTCAGTCATATGAATCTACTACACTCAGCAGCTAGGAGGCACATCAGGTCACCCCTTACTCTTGGTGTTAGCTTTGTTGACAATGTAACATATACTGACACTCTTAAGACAACAGTAAAGCAGTCTTCAAAATATTGTATTCTTAGACTCTTACTGTATAACATGTATATGCCGTATGAATTACAATTAACATAGTATCAATAAATTTTGTTTATTTCATATCATTTCGAATTGTTTCTTTGTTCTTCTCAATTGATAATCACATTTCAAAATTTTTTCTGTTTTTAAAATAGATTCCCTGCAAGATAAGAGAAAACATTTTATGTTTACTTGATGTTCTGTTATATGAAAAAAGGAACTCATGACTTCAATGGAAAGATTAAACAATGCCATAAAGTAAACTTAAAATGAAGGAAGTCAGGAAATGAAAGGAGGAAAATGGGATAACAAGGCAAACATAAAGATGAAATTATTGCCACTTTTTTGTTTTCAGGTCTTTATATTCCGTAATTGGCAGGTGTTTTTAAAAGAAAACTAGGAACAAGTCTCTAATTATCATTTGAAGAATCTTTTTCAAGTCAAATCATACATTAAAAAAGCTGAGGAATATTTTCCATATTTATGAAACACAAAAGCATTTTCTTTGATAGTTACAAAACAAGTGAACAATTGAAACCTAATAAGGGATTTCTCTTTTTGTTACAACATTGTCTTTATTTCAGAGTTCTTCTTTGATTTAGGTGGGAAAAACAGAATGGAAACAAAAGTGATTTTCACTTTGTTAAAAATGAATTTCTCTTATTTTGAAGTTGAATACAATTGTCAAAGGAAATCTCCAAAATAAACATTATCACAGCACAAAATAAAAAAAAAAATTAAACAATTCACAAATTAGTATGCCTTTACAAGATTACAAAGTTCCGAATTTATAAATTTAAATTAATTTAGTGATGGAGCAAGCAGAATAAGGTATTTGCAAGCATAATTGTACCAAAAATTACAAAATCTATTTAAGTCAACATTGGTTTAAGGCAGATGTGAAGTAAACAATCAAACATATAAGACTCTGGCCCAAAATTATTAAAAAAAGATGAAATGGATTTTTTTTCATTCTTTACAAGCAAAAATGTGAAATAAGTAAGCAAATGAAAAGAATATAAAGAAATAAAATATTGATATGCCGACTTCTTTTTAGTCAATATTAATCTTAGAATAATAATGTGACTGCTGAGATTAATGTAATTATTTTACAAGTATAAATTTGTTACTGATAACAAATTTATGGTTTATTCTATGCTAAAGTAATTATATCAATTTATGTATATCAATTTATGCAGTGAATATTAACAAATTCCTATTTGGATCAACAATTATTGTCAACTAATATTATGAGCAGCTAGCAGCATATTGCAATGCATATAGAGATGTACATGAGATTGTTACAAGGCAAATTTCACTTTTCCAAAGGGTTTAATTTTAATTCAATTTTAACAGTATCTAAGAAATCAGTTTATGTAATATCTCTAATTTCTGATGTCCTTTGCTGAATAATGTCCAGCTCTAAACTGTAGTATATTTTGATTTAAGCCAAGGTCAATATAAAAAAGTGGGGACCATTACATTTATCCAGCATCAGAAAGTAAGGCAAATTTTAAATGAAACAAGTCTAATATCTCAAATCATTCAGAGTTCTGTAGTTACAGAAGCAACCAACTTCATTAAGTTTTTATTCTTCAGAAGAAGAATGTAATCGATTATATTTGACTCTTTCATGATCCAATTTGAAAGTCACGTGTTTCCTCCGAGTGATATCTGATGATCCAGCAACAGACAAGTCTGAAGAAGATCCATTCATCAGAGATTCCCTTTGTTGATTCAGCGAAAGCATATTAGCATGTTCATATTTCCGACGTTGATTGGAGGCCAAATTTTGCATTATAATAAAACAGAGGCAGCTGAGGAGACTGAGAGCAAACATGACATACATTAGAACCATTTTTTGTTTCTTCACCATGAAGAATCCTGTAACTGCAGGAATTACCATTTCTCCAAGAGCTGAGCCCATGATCAAGACAGCAGTAGCCTTGCCAGTCACAGTCATGTAATGTTCAGCCCAAGACATTCCTGTTGGAAAGATGGAAGAGAGGCCAAGACCGAAAAGGAGTGTTCCAGGCCATAGTAAATCTTGGTATTCATTGAGGCCAATGGAAAGAATAAGACTGGCTAGGAGGACAAGAAGGATGTTGGCAATTAGCATCCAAGAAGGAAGCAAACACCTGGCAAGAAATATTGACAGACCTCGTCCTGTAGCTAAAGCTCCCCAAAACAAAGATGTCAGAATCACACCTTTGTCTTTTGACCATGCGAAAGACTGCACAGCAAAAGTCATGATAAAACCCCCAAAAGTCACCTCCATTCCAACATACATAAAAAAGAAAATAAAGAGAGAGATTAGTACTTGAACCCTGAATGCCTGATCTTCAATACAGGATTTGTGTTTCCGATCACATGTGTAGGTTACTAATGTCTCATAAGATTTGTCATAGCAATAAAGACACATAAAAAAAATACTGATAAAAAAAAGAAAGGCTCCAATAATCATGTAGACAAATTGGATATTCGACATGGTTTTTACTGCATGAATGGCACTGTTGAGAAATTTGTCAAAGGTTTCTGGTTTTTGAGGATGAAAGGTTGTCATATTCAAAGGTAAGATGGTTGTGGCATCAGCAAGCAAAGAAACATTGTTTCCATTAGAATCGGCACCACTGAAAACATGATTTTTGCTCTTTGATTTGCTGGTGGTTTGGTGTATTATAGTTGTTGTTTGTGGTGTTGTCAGATGGGAGAAAGGAACTGTCATCAGAGCTGGACTTTTAGTAACTCTGGTTACAACTGGAAGTTTTGTGGATGTTAACAACTGGAATGTTTTTGAGGTGTTGTTAAGTGTTACAGTAGTCATGTTATTTAACAATGTCGTCCCATTCAGTGTTGGTAGAGGTTGAAGGGGGCTTACTCTTGTAGTTGTTGGAATGTCTGCCTTTTGTTTAGCATCCTGCTTTTGTTTTTCATCTTTCAAGCGTTCACCTAGTTTACTTCCATCAGCAAATGACTTTTTAAGAAGACTTCCTTTTACACTTTCAGGCTTTTTTGGTCGCCGTATTGTTGTTGTAGTCACTTGGAAAGTTGTTCTGTTATTGTTTCCATCTCCTGTTCCATTAGTGTTATCAGGAAGTTCTGTAGAAGAAGTATTCACTGCAAAATCAGGTAGCAAATTAGACCTTGGGTATCTTCCTTGTGTAAGTTGGTTATCTGCATAAACATCCATATTCCCAACAAACAAAAGGTTATGTTTTGAACTCATGCCTCTGAACTGAACCTGAAATTGTGAGTGTGAGATGATTGGTGTTGTATCATTAAGCAATATCGGTGCTAAAAAGGGTTTGGTCAGCAGAGGGGCAATAAATGCACCAATGCCAAAAGTAAAGTGCATTGCCTGCAAATATGGACCACTTTGATGACTCCAGATTCGGATACAGAAAACATTCCCACCTGAAAAATAGAGAAATTGCATTCAACCATGGAACATTAGGTACGTGCTTTCACAAATAAACAACTGAAAAATTTAACTTTTTTCTGCATTTCACTAACTTGAGATTTTAAAAATTATGGAACCCCAAATTTAATTTGGAGAAAATGTGGCAAAATTTTAAAAAAAGTCATAAGTAATTAAGTCTAAATCAATGTATCAGGTCATCCAATAAGTTCTGTCCGAATTTTAACTTTTTGTTAAAATGAATGAAATTTAAAGAGTATTTTATAATATCTAATGGAGCTGAACATTATTTTTATGTTTAGATGCATTTAAACTGATCAAAGTTTATTTCAGAGAACAATAAAATTAAATTGTGTTTGATTAAAACCCTGCTAACATGGAAGTACCCAAGAATCATTTGAGGCACATAATGCTTTATGAGTTCAAGAAAGGAAACTCAGCAGCCAAAGCGGCTAGAAACATTCACTCAGTTTATGGAGAGGAATGTGTGAATAAAAGAATTGCAGAAGATGGTTTGCAAAATTCAGAGGTGGAGATTTCACCCTTGAAGATGAAGATTGAACCGGACGTCCAGTTGAGTTTGATGAAAAGCTTCTTGATGCAGCCCTTGAAGAAAATCCTGCTTTATCAGTTGAGGAATTGGCAGTGGTTCTCAGTTCAAACCATACAACTATTCATCATCATCTTCAACAACTTGGAAAAGTTCCTAAACTTGGAAAATGGGTGCCTCATGAATTGTCTGAAAACAACCTCAAACCCGAAGTTGACATCTGCTCTTCTCTCCGTTTCGCTTAACTTGTTTCTTTTTTTTTTCATAGACTTGTGACTGGCGACGAAAAATGGATCTTTTATCGAAATGTTAGCGTCGAGACAGTGGCATGGTAAAGGGAAGGACCCCAGCCACAGCCGAAAAAGGGAACTTCATGGGCAAAAGGTTCTTCTTTCAATCTGGTGGGATCGACAAGGAATAATCCACTTTGAATTCTTACCACCTAATGCAACAATTATTGCTCAAATATACTGTCAGCAATTAGGCGTTTTGAACCAAGCTTTGAGGAAAAAAGACCTGCCCTAGTGAATCGAAAAAAGAGGTGATGTTTCATCAGGACAATCACGCGACCCCCACAGCAAGAATCACGTCATAAAAGATCGAAGAACTTGGTTGGGAGAAAATTCCTCATTCACCTTATTCTCCTGATCTTGCTCCTTCAGACTACCATTTGTTTCATAGCTTACAGAATCATTTGGAAAAAACAGCTTTTGTAACACAGGAAGAGGTTAAAACTGACATTTGTGAGTTCTTCGAATCAAAGCCAAAAGAATTTTATAGTAATGGAATTAGTAAGCTTGTTAATAGATGGAAGGAAGTCATAGATAATCAGGGAAAATACATTGTTGATTGAATCTGTAATTAAATGTAACATTTGGTCACTTGTTTTCTTTATTCGAAATTCGGACAGAACTTATGGGATGACCTGATAATGTATACGTGTGGAGTGGGGAACCGAATTCAAATTCCAGCCAGATTTGTTACATTAACTTATGCATAAATACCCTTAAGATATGAATCTTTTACTTAACCCCCACCTCTCCCCCAGCTACAGGCTGAATAGCAGGACATATTGGGTTCTATAGTCTTTGTTGGCAACCAGTCTTCCACAGAAAGAAATGGCAGCCTACTATACAAAATCTCCTGTCGAGTCAGTCCTGAATCAAAAGAGACATGATTGCTCTAGCATGTATAATGTATGGCACTTAACTGACTGATGGAATGCATATGTGCCATTAAAATGCATGTAGCAATATCATGATGGTTTTTCTGTATTAACATTATGGATCTGAATATGTTTAATAGCTACTTTACTTTTAAAAAGGGTTTCCTTTCATTTCTAGTTGTACAGAGTAAAAGACATTAGTTATATCAGAACTGTCAAAAAGACAAACATTGTCTAGTAACGTTAGAATATAAAAATATCAATTTTTCAATTTATTTTTGATGAAATATAAGTTACATATTGAACTATTCTTTAACAAATTTCAGAAGTATTTTTTATGATGTAACTTTGCAAGTATTCAATATACATACAGTGTTGTGCAAAAGTAAGTGAACCCTAAGATAATATTAAAAAAAACCTGTTTCTTTTTTCCCAGATAATGAATAAATCTTAAACTATATATTCATTAAGAAAAACCTTTATCAAATGAATTACAACCACTTTCAAAACTTTTTATCAAGCTGGAATAAAATATATTAATTAAAAATTCAGATGTGCACCCTTACGTTTAATATTTGGTGACTCTTCCTTGAGGTCACAATGTCACCTGGTCTTTTTTTATTTTGAAAGAAGTTTCTGGCAGCAGGGAGGGTCATTCTTCTTGGCAAAATTCACATATTTAATTGATATTACCTGGGATTCTTGCATGTACTGCCTTCTTTAATTTGAATCACAGATTTTTAATTGGATTTAGATCAGGACTTTGATTAGTCCAAACCAAGACATGAAATCTTTCATGCCTTCATGCTTTCATGCCTCAGGTCATTGTCCTGTTGGAAGACCCAGCCCTGACCTAAACCCAACTTTCAAAGTGAAGGCAAGACACTTTCATTCAAAATTGCTTGGTATCTTGCACAGTACATTGTACCATCAATGAGTACTATTTTGCTTGTTCCAACTGCAGCAAAGCACCTGACAAATCATAATGCTGCTGCCACCATTTAGCACCAAATTTTTCTCTTTGAAAGCCATATTAGAAGCTTGCCAAACATACAGCCTATTGTTCATTCAAAAAGCTCTAATTTATCTCATCTGACCATAAAACCTTTTGCCACAACCTTTCTAGCTTATTAGTATGAGCTTTGGCAAAATTGAACTGAGCTTGTTTTTGCTTCTTCATACGTAGTGACTTTTTTACTATACATTCAGCCATGAAGACTGGCATTGTTCAGATTTCATTGCACTGTAGAGGTATGCACACTGATTCCAACATTAGCCAGCGAGCTTTGGAAAACAGTAGAATTTGCCTGGGCTTGCTGAACTAGATGTCTACTTGTTCTTGCAATTATTTTTATGGACGGTAATTTCTTGATTGTGATGCCATCATACCAAATGCCTTCCAGTCATAAAATTATTTGTCACACTGCAGAGACATGCATTCCAAATCATTTTGATAATCTTTTTGTAACCTTCTCCATCATTATAGGCTTCAATTATGGGATTTTTTAAAGCTTCAAGAAGTTCTTTTGATCTTGGCATATTTTTTTAAAGTTACTCTCTAACTGCACCCTTTTGCATACATAATGAGTTATATTTGTTGACAGCAGTATACACAGCTTACTAAAAAAAAAGAAAAATGAACATGTGTCATTTTGATTTTTACACATGCACATAATTCATTTAATGTTTTTCTTAATGAATATATATATATATATATATATATATATATGAATTACAATGTGCAAAAGTAAGTGAACCCTTATATTTACACTCTACTTTTGTTTGACATGGTTTCCAGTACAAATAATTATAAGAAAAACTTTTCTTTACCAATGCATTTTGTCCCTTGAGGGCAAGGTAAATGTAAGGATCATATTTTACCTTGATAATTCCTACAGGGGGAGCAAAACATCAGTAAAGAAAAAATTTTTTCTTCTGTTTTTATCCAAACAGTCTTTTTAAAAATATATTTCATCTGAATTTATATATATATATATATATATATATATATATATAAGATCAAACTTAATTCATAATCATAGCAACTTTTCATCTAGCTTACTTTCACCTTTTGGGTCATCAGGCTGTAAGTGGCAGGATTATTGAAAAGACATACTGGGTAGTTGCAGTTAAATGACCAAATACCTGGACATAAAATTTGGCTATTTAAATGCAACTGCACCATATATAATTTCAACAATATTAGCACTCACAGCTGGACAAGCTGAATGGCAGAAGTAAAATAGTCAATGAGCTGAGTTGCTATAATTAATTTTAACTAAAAAGTTTTAGTATATAACAAAAATATTGTATTACACACACACACGCACACTAGTGAGATAAAAGTCAATATGTAAATAACAAACTTGGTGGGAACAGAGTGTCACATTAGCACAAAATTTGAGTTGATTATTTCCAATCAGCTCTGCTGTTATTATTGATCTGCTTGAAGCAGTCCTGATAAACCTTAGAATATTCTCAGAATATAAACACCAAAAACCAGCACAGAGAACAGACAATTAATAGTCATATTAGTACTGAAATACTAACTATTTATATAACCTACAAAGTAGGATTTAGTAAATACACCTAAATTTTAATTCACTCTTATGATTACATATAGACAGCAAGTTCTGGTAGTAAGAAAAAAAAAAACAAACAATCACAGATGCATTTTAATGACAATTGGACTTGAATCTAACAAACCTATGTAGGTAACAGTTTAACTTTTACTAATCATTGATCATGCAATTTATTTGCTTTAGTCATTTTCTGCACTGATAAATGAAATGTTTCTATATAAAAGCATTTGATGATTAAACATTAAATTTTACAATATGAGACTGAAAATCATTTTAGTAGGTTTTCACATTTAATTTGCATATTGGGCATTGAAAAACATGAAAATAAACAAAAATAAAGATTATCTAGGTTAGAAATCAAGACAAGTGTTACTGATACTAATATGGCTATGCTTAATCTTTAATTACTACAGAATGCAAAAGTTAATAAAATATTGTCTATAACTGGAGCTATATTAATTATATACAAGTATCTATTTTGATCCTAATTTATTAGTGAATAAAAAATATTATCTAAATTTCTATCAGATTGTATCAATTTTACTTGAAGCCAAATAACATTCATATCATTTTTAGATGTAGGGACATAAAAAAAATGTTTTTTCTAATCTAAAAAGATAAGAAAAATGATATGATAGTAACCTGTGTCAAGGACTCCCATTGCTATGCCTTGAAAGGAGATCATAACAGCAAGTACAATTAGTGATGTGCACCATGGAACTGCTATAGTGGCTATGGATGTCAAAAGCAAAGTGTATGACAACTGCAACTGCTGATCAAAATGGTCAAAGAGAAAGCCTCCAAGGATGGAACCAAATAAATAACCTAAAGAACGAGCAGTGAATATATAGGAAATACGTTCTATGGTGGTACCAACTCTTTCCTTCAGGTCAAGCAGTGTGGGGCCGGGCACGGCCAGACAAAGACCCTGTAATAAAAAAAGAAAGCAACATTTAAAGTTTTAAAATCTTAAATTAAAAAAAAACAAATACATCTGAAAATAAAATCATTCTACCATAGACATTAGACTAAAAGATCGTGGTCAGAAATATCATTAATAGAAATAGAAGATAGAAATGTGGAGACAGTTGGTGGCTTTTTCTATAATATTTGCTGCTCAAATGGTTTTAAAAAGGTTTTGTTTATTTTTTTTAAAATTGTCTAATTCATTTTTCATATAGAAATTCAAGTATATAGAACATAGAAAACAAGAAATAAACAGCTTCTATTGTTTTTATTAAATTTGTTCTTGCAGACTTAATGAAATTATTGTTTTTATTGGATTCAGCATTTTTGCTTGCACTGAATACACATAAAGCAAACAATTATAGATATATGGAGAGGCACTGAAAAATTCTTACCCCAACCAAGAAAAACTTCAAATTCTGATATTTGATCATTTGCTCAGATTTTCCAAAAATATATTGGGCCAAGAACTTTTCAGCACCCCTATCTTGAAACGGCAGACATAAGAATCAGAAACATGGAGTTAAATAAAGATCTTTAAATCTAGGGTTTGTAATTTCAAAAGATCCCATTCATTAAGCTTGGGAGTCAATACAGTAATTTCAACAATGAATTATTTCAGTCAATAATTTTGTGAACTTAACACTAACGAGGTCCTCAACAGCATCTCATAATGTCATCTTAGTGGGGCTACACCAACTGAAAACCTTCTCCAATTATGAACTGGTTTTGTCAAGTTCTTTTGGTTGATTTGAGCAGTAAAGCTCATATAAAATGAATTCAATCCCCTTTGGGGATCAATGGTTAGTAAAAAAAAGGAATGAAAGGAAGAGAAATTATATCAACTGATGTTACCTGGCATTTATTGTTTTGTACAGAAATAATTAGCTTTTTCTTCATGCCAGCCTATTTTGTCAATGAGTAAGGTGGCAAAAAGTGGTTGGATTTTCTTTAGCTCTTAATGTCTGGGATGGTGTTGAAATGGCATAATCAAATGACAGAGGCACATAGCTAACAAGTGTCTGTGTCACAAAGTGAGGCTCATTATATTAGGTTTTTGAATAACATAATTGGAAATATTAAGGAAAGTTACATTTTTAATTCCAGGGTCTCCTTATTAGGTATGATCATTTGGTTAGTTTAAATTTCTTCTATCCCAATGTTCAGTCCTTTCACCTTATTTACAGATGGTGCAATCTCTCCACTTACCAAATATGGTCAACATTCAGTGCCTCTTTGTCTGCCCACCTACTTCCATATTTGAGAATAAAAAGGAAAAATTTTGCCCATTAATTTTTTTCAACTTATCCAAAATCATCAAACTACTACTACTCGTTTGTAAAATCCTACGTTAAAGGAATTTTATCTTTGCCACAATTTACCAATATTGATCTAGTATCATTTGCAGCTTGGCAGTATTTATCTTTAAACTTTGATTTGTATATATAATCAGTATTTACTCTTTGTACTCAAACTTGTGATTTGATTCTGGCTTTACCCAAAGGTAAAAAAAATTACCATTGATATGAAGGAGATTTCAGATCATTTAAAAAAAATTAAGGGAATGCAACAAGGTAATCAATGGCAATTGCGAAAGGGGACTTTGCAAACATTTTTGAAAAGTGAAAAGAACAATGGGGATAAGCATGTGAGGTCCCAAAGGGAGCACTTTGAAATGGACTAAGACATCATTATAGATAGTTTAGATGGGGTTTTTGTTGGGTTTTTTTAAATATTAAAACAGATGGATATTTTCTGGACAGACCTAATAAACATCAAGAAAACAATGTATTTTCATCCAACACATGAGAATTCTACTTGTTGTCAAACTCAAAAACATTATAGTACAGATATTAAAATTTAGAGCCAAATTTTGATCAAGGTTAAAAAACAAAAATATTAAGAAAAATATTTGAACGAAATTAACAATCAAGATAGATGTACTGAGTTTAACAGTAAGTAAATTTATAATTGGTGGCTGGTTGGGATGAGAATTGCAGCAGTTGTAATTTTACCATGTAGAATAAATTGCAAATGATTAAGAAAGGAATGAAATAAAGTTACTGGTGTGGATTTTTACCAGTAAGTGAATCTATAATTGGTGGCAACTGAAATAGGAATTAAGTTGAGATAATGATATGAAAAGCAAAGATACCCAAAGATTACCAATTTGGATTTTGCTAGCATACCTGGGCCTGTTTTTTCTTTCTCATAGGCTGTTGGAGAAATAAAAAGCATTTAATTACAATTAAATTAACACCTGGAATTGCCTGGGTTTGAATTTAGGATCAGGTGAAACGAGGTGCATTCACTCCTCACCCAAACTCACAACCAGAAAAATTACAATTGTGATAAACTTACAGTTATGATAAACATATCTTGATCAAAATTCAGTAATGTTATTTTTTTCATACTATCCACCATTCTGCGTTGTCTATTGGGGGTCAAGAATTAAGCTGACCCGCCAATGAGAGACTGGAAGATGAAGTCATCAAAACTCTTCTTCTAATCCAGTTATTATTCCTATATGCAACTCAATTTGTAACCTGACACCTGAAAGAAATGTAGTCTCCATAGATATGAGAAATGGGCAGTCATCAGGAGTCACACTGAAGAGATGGGGGTATTCAAGACAGGAGAGTTGTAGACACAGTCAAGACAAAGTTAACATCACCAACCCTCTTTGCTACCTACTCCACCACAAATTGCAAGATACTGTTCAAGAATAATTCACAGTGGCCTTGCACAATAGAGCCAAGCCAGTGGCAACTCTAGGTCATCAATGTTTGTTGGGCTCATTACAATCTTTAACAAAATATACTATTGGCATAACTTAGATGCTAAAATGATTCCTCTATTCTAACTAAAATATATCATTTTTTTAAAATCTCTGTGCAGGAAATTAAAAAAACAACATTTTGGTATTTTAATATTAACTGTAATAATTCTATAAAAATAAACATTTATTTTAAAAATATTTTTCAGACATGTAAGAAAAGTCTGAGGAAAAAGTCAGATAGGTTTGCACTTTTTAAAAAATAATGTGTGTATCTATCTCAAGTGTGTGTATGTATATATGTCTATGCATTAGTGTGTTTATGTATCTCTCTGTGAATTTTTAGTTTAATTTATTGTACAAGTTTATGATCATTCATACTCTTCACCCATAACCCTCCAGTTGATGAGTTAAGGCTGCCACTTTGATCTTCAGCAAAGTTAAGATTGAGCTAAATTTAATTTGCCCTTTCTCAAAAGATACATTCCACTATGGACATTTGAAAAGAATAAGTTGAAATAAAAATCTGTTCTTTGAAAAATAGGACATACAAGTCATTAGAGATTTTTGAAAGATTATAAAATTAAATCAAGTAATACATTGCCTATTAAGTATGTCTCCAACTTCAATCAGGCTCAGCCTGACTAGCCATGTTAATTTTATTTCATTTTTTTTTTTTTTTTTTTTTTTTACCTCTTTCAGCAAAATGTATTTTGGTCAATATTTTGAGGCATGGAGTTAAAACAATTCTGTATCCAGCTGAAATCAAGAATGAAAACAAGACACTATGAAAGATTTTGTTGCTTTGAAATAGATATATTTGAAAGTTGACTCACTCAGGCTAAACCTGACAAGCCCAACCCCTGGAGTCACCACTGAAACAAGCAGATATTTGTAGTTTTCAAGTTCCCTGAATGATTTTCAGCTCAATTATGGAATTGCGTTAATGTTATTTGTACTTAAGAGGAAGATTAAAACAAAAAACATTCACATTCTTAATTGAAAAAATATAAATTTAGGTCTAGAAATCCTGTTCTGCCTTGAAGAGGCAAAATTCCCGATAAAATTCTTAAATTCTGCAATTAATCCATTTAAAGTTCTTTTCAAGAGAATTTTCAGTGCCAAAAATGGATTCAGTACAAAAAACAGAGGTCTAGATCACGAGTTTCTGATAAATACAAGGCTTTGTCAAAAACTGATATTTGGTGCCTGGTATATGGCACCAAAATGCAGGTAATGATCAATTTAATATATGAAAGGAAATCAATGCATTTTGAATACTATTCCAAGAACCATTTTCTTACATTTTACAAATTTAACTGTTTTAATATATGGAAACTTACCCTAAGGAGAAAAAATTGGTTTTAGGCATTTTTTAACAGCATTATTTTAATTTGGGTGTTCAGAGACAAAATACAGGTAAAATATAGCAAAACATTGTGTTAATTTGACTGAATTTTGTGTTGTAGGGGTGCCCAAATCCACTTGATATGTCATTTTTGAAAAAGTGTGTCAAGTTAAATTTGTCTTTCACTTATCCATTTCAACAAGATTCCAATGAGTTTCATTCCAAAAGCGCCAAATGCCAACTAGTGTGTAATTTCATCAACTAATGGAAGAGTTGGAAACTTGGTTTTGAACACCAACTTTATCTGCAGGCCCGAGATCAAAGTTCACTGTCTGAATCATTGAATTGACTACCAGGCACAAGCCCTGGGCATTATTGTTATTTTTTTTTTGTTGATAGGCTGACAACTATTAACCCATTCTTGCCATAGTTAGGTAGACCACAGAATTGGGTAGGATTAAACTTGATCAGCTGGATCCCTCAACCTCCTAAACAATAAGCAAGCTGTTATTGTTTAAAACGAAAAAAGCAGAAGAAAGAAAAGTTTTGTTATAAAGAAAACAACAATCGCATGTTAATTTTCAATGTGTAAATTTCTTCTGTTTTATTCATTTCTACCATTAAATTCTTTATTCAATTTTTATTTTGCATTCAAACTTTTATTTTTATATTCAAATATAATTATATACAGGATATATATATATCTTAAACAAGATGTATCAAATTAATTTTAACATGTATTCTCTAAGTTTTCACCAACAAATTTTATCCATAACAATAGAAGCAAAATTTTCTTAGTCTTCATAAAAAAGAAAATGAGGAGAGAGGAAGTTTATCTAGGCTTCTATAGACCTCTTGGATGGGGTGAAGAAAACTGCAGTAGTAATTAAAGAGGCCCTGCAGTTAAAGAAGTTGAAAAGAGTAGCCACTGTGTCCCAATAGGATGTCAACAGATTCAGCTTAAAAAGGATTAGTCTCTAATCTAGCAAAGGAATAAGTCTAGTAATCTTTGTTCTCAATCCCAGAAGGACAAAGGATACACACCAATCCCAAGTTCTGCTCACTTCATCCAACTTAAGAATGGAAATGACTTCTCTACTAATCAGCTACTGACAATCACATGCACAACTATGTGAGTTTTGCAAATACTTTAACAGACTTAAGCTGCAATAAGGACATAGCAGGTTTGCTGAAGTGGTTGTATTCATGCAGGTAAAGCCAGTTAAGGGCACATCTATATAAACCACTCAGAAAGGAGGTCTCAGTTTGGTTTTGATGAGGCTGAACAATTGCTATTATACACCTGAAATAATGGAAAAAGTAAATAAAAACTTCTCTAAGACCACCAGCAAGAAACTGAAACTCATAAACCCGAGTGATTTAAAAATCTGACAACTGCAATTTTCTGTAACAGAATATACTCCTTTTCAATTCTGACAATTTCTATGTTCCTAGAACACAAGATATTATTAAGTAATTTTGAGGTTATTTCTCCTCCATTTTCATAGTAAACTGCAGTACAGGAACGCCTGTAAAGTCTGTAAATTTTAAATTGAAAAAAACTAAAAAGCCACCATTGTTATACTGAGATGATTGTGTTTTTGAATAAAAAAGTTCATTTGCAATTTTACAGTGATTTAACCTTTTAATGTTACACTGATAGCTGCAAATAAAATTGCAAAATTTTTTAATATATGTTTCAATTTACTCAAGCTTGAATGTACAGGTAATATCGATGGATTGTATTAAATGATTGCACATAAAAGGATGTATGTATACATGTACACTGGTTCCAAAATAAGCAATGTATCAACAGTACTCAGCCCCTATATTAATACACTTTATATCTGACTTGGGTGTTAACACAAGCTTGCAGTTTCAGATGATTGTACAGACAGCAAGTACTAATGCAATACATTATTTCATGCCTCTTGTAATTGTTGACTCAAGTACAGAAATTCTCCAAACTGACCATCCAGCCTATCAAAAACTCACAATCTGACTCCTCTGAAATAGCACTAAATGAACAAAGGGAGCATGCAAGTATCTCCATGGCATGACAAACTGCTTGCAATGAATTCTCTTATCACACTGAAACTTATCCCAACAGGACTCATTGTCTAAAACTTATACACGCTGTGCACATGCATATTACCACAATAGAAGTGTTTAAACATGCATTTACTGTACCCAAATTAACATTGGAATTTTCAGGGAGTTGCAATTTCATTCTCAATCCATGTATTTATTTGATAATCATTTCAAGTTTAAAAAAACTCATTTAACATTTGGTGAAGATTTAAAAAATCTAAATTAAAGAAATGTAATGTTGTTTTCTACTGAATTAACATTTATCTATTCTCCCTAAATAAAAATATTCCAGATTATATAAATTTTTTCAATCATCCAAACCAACAATTAACTTTGAAAGAACATTTAATAAGCACCTAAAACTGACATTTTCCTTTTGAAATATATCTATCCATATTATTAATTTTTGACAATATTTTGGTAATTTTAGAACCAGATCTATACACAAATTTAAATAACTAACATTTTAACAAATCTGTACATTTATGAACTCATTCATCCACAATGTATACTGCATAAATATTTTCCTATAGTAATGTTATAGTTAAAACATGTCCTTTCTATATCACTGAAAATAGAATTAAAAAAATGTAAACATTGAAAATTCTTTGCAACTTACCAAGGCTAAAAAGGCAGCTGATAAACCTAAGGTTTTGAGGAACTTTCCACACCAATTGTAATTTCTCCAACTCTGTTTTTTTCTGACAGAAGGTAAGACAGGTTTGTCATGGTTGATCTCAAATATTTCTTCTTCATCATCATCATCAATGATAGATGCCGTGATGGCATCAGCCTCATTCTCCTCATTCAACATCGTTCCATGTTCTAGTCAAAATCTGACCTAAAAGGGAAAAAACAAAATTAATATTCATGAAACATTCCCAATAATATTTAACAAAACTTGGGTTGAAATATTTTTCATGATCAAATTATCACATGTACAGTAACTTGAACCTTTTAGTGAGAGAGAGAAAGAGAAAAAAATGAATTCCTCTCTAAACCTATTTACATTGTTCAAATTTGTCTGCATCTTTATTGTCATATTCACAATCTTTCAACCATCATAAGCTCCAGCCTTCTGAGGACAACAGTCCAAACAACGTAAATAGTGTAAATAGTCAAAATACCTCACATCTCAGTAATGCAGACAGATGTTCTCTAAACCTCTTATGAGTAATCAACAATGATTGCTAAATGCAGTATGGCTGGTGTTAAAATTTTATTTTCCATTAGTGTATAAATATGATATCTGAAGTTTGGCTGAAAATGCTTGGGCATCTTAGAAAACTCAAGACACATATGCACATTCAGTTTTGCATAATAGAAATTATGTTACAAGTACTTTTTTTATGATGTTGCAAGCTTAACTATTATTGTCAAATTATTAGAATATTCCACAGAGATGTGGAATATTCTAACAAATTCTAACACCTAAACAATCTCCACTCAACAGATGACTACATTTCACATACAAGACTGTTCAAGAGACAAAGCTATAAAAAGCATTCCATTTTGTAAATAGGTATAACCACTGGGATGGCATCAGTTACACATAATACAATAGAAACAAACAGATAGAAAAAAATTAAACTTCCTCAGGGGATTAGTTTTATTCTCAGTGGTTATGAATTCAATAAATGTTAGTAGAATAAATTTCTGTAAATATATCATGAATTTACATAAATGTTAAGTATTAGCACCTAGTTAAGTACTGGCATCAAGTACTAGCACCTTGTACTTAACAATATGAATGTGTTTTTTCCAAAACAAATATTTTTATAATTTTATAAAGAAAAATCCCTGAAGATACTATTTCAGTCAAAAAAAACTTTTGCAAAACTGAATTAAAAAAATCTTGAAAATTTCTTCTGATACTACTTGGACTATTGTCCTCATCATTGTTGTTGTTGTTATCACAATGTTTCAGCCATTGTTCCTTCCAGCCTTCATCAGGTATTGATCTGGGTAAACTACAGGGAATTCTGAACTGAACCGTTTATTTAATCTACAGAGGTAGACTGTTCCCGTTCCACTCCCCATGTCGAGGGATATTTCACCTAGTTCATATTTTTAGTACTGCTCAGTTATATTTCTCAACCAGTTTTTCAATGAGTTCAAGTACACACTGCTCAGCCTGGCCCTAATTAAGGCTGCTGGGCTGAAACGCTGTGATAATAGCAACAACATAGATGAGGACAAAAATCTGAATGTAGTGTAAATAATGATAACACCTCATCCCAGAAATTCAGAGAGAAATTATTGAATTGGAACACCTAATAGGATACACGAATGGAGGCAATCAGAAAAACTCCATCAAAAATTGGCATGAACCATGTAACATTCCTGTACAGATGTAGAGATCTATTGGGCTTATTAATTAAGACATTGGTCAGTTCCAGGGGAGCACAAAGGGTAGCAGAAAGAGCAGGTCATGCCCTCATGAGGAGAATGGATTCTCCACAGCAGCTAGAGAAAACTGTAACAGAGAATTGTGTCAATTCGATAAGAGACTCAATGTTAGTTGCATGTGGTGCTGTAAACACCAAGCATTACATCCTTTTCTACAATGGGCTGTTGAGAGAAGTAGGTGGCATTATTTGCATATGAATGATACCAGGTAGGTATTACCCAATAGTCATTGTGGATCTGGGACTGGGAGAGCTATATAACACCAGTTTTTCTCAGTTGAAAAAGAGCGCTCTAAACGTGTGGAAATCCAGACAAGATGAACACAAGCTATTTCAGCAATTGATGGACAATGGCAGACTAAATTTAACTTAAAATGAATTCCCAAATTTGATTAATTGGTGTCTGTTCAAGTGGTTGATGAATAGAGAAGCTGGAACCCATTTGCAGGTTATCTGGAGTGAAGTCTCTGGAGCATGTGATCCCTTTGAGATTTAAGGGTAGAATATTTGCAGAAATGTTCTTGTTGGTCAGGATGAGCAACTGTATGCTGGTTTGTGCATTTGTGCACAGGTTGCCAGGCAATGCAAAGTGGACACTGTGCGTCATCTAAGATGCTGTATATTGACCAGCTACTTGCTCAAGCCAGGGCAGTTATGAAAGACAAAAAGAGAGAGGATGTCATGGTGGCAGCAGCTGTCCAACCAATGCAAAGCACAGAAGCTGATGTCAGAAAGTGCTTTAAATGCAATGGCATTAGCCACATGGTGAAAGATTGTCTGAACTGAGAAAATGACACGGGATGAGGGCAAGGACAATGCAATACGATGCACTGTTACTGTTGCCATACTGTGGGCTATATATTGTGGAACTGACCATGAAAATGTGAGAAGAGGAGATATGTCAGTGCTAGTATCTTCTTTCGCCTGGCACTACCTATAGGTCATGGTCCAGGTTTGATGGCAGAACTGTCACTGCGCTGGTTGTTCGCTATCTATAGCCAGCAGAGAGGATATGCCAGTCGTGGACAAAAGAGCCTGTATGTATAACAACTATAGACGAAGAGACCAGCACCTATTGTGGGATTGCAGTCGTCATTCTCCAGCAACAAGGTGGAACTCCTGTCAAGATTGATGTACTGGTGGCTCAAGAGAAACCACTTAGTTTTGACCTCCTGATCCAGATGAATACAATTAAGGAACTGGGTGTAGTGAAGTTCTTCAACAAAACCATCCCTCACCATAAAGGAAACAGACTTCAACATTGAATTCGATCAGAAAAAGAAAGCATGGACAGTGTCATGGAAGTGGACTGAAAATCAGGCACCTATGAAACAATATAGCAGAGTATCTTGTGTCCAAGCTGATGCATAAGGAATCTAACCAGGTGTAAGAAGTATGGTTGGATAATTGCTGGCTTATACCTTATCCTGAGGAGGGGATCAAACCTCCCCAGGGTCTAGTTCCAGCGATGGTCATTATTCAAGAGAGCAAGAAAAAGGTACACTCTGTAATGGATTACATCAAGTGCAGATGTCTAAGCTAAGGGAATGGTGACAATGGGGGTGCAATATATCATTGTTGGACCAGAAGAGAGCATATCTACAGGTCCACATACACCAGTCACTGTAGCTTTTTCAAACCGTCTTACTGAAAGGGGGGGTACTTCCTTACATGATTAGGGTCTTGCCTCTTATAATGAAGGCAATACTATTGCAGGATAAAGCAATCCAAGATGTCACTTCAGCATATCTAGATGACATCTTCAGCGACAAAAATACAGTTTTGAGTCAGAAAGCATATGTCTGACTTTGAACTAAACTGCAAGGACCAGATGGTGCAAAAGTGCTTGGTTTGCAAGTCGGGGTGTGTGTGTTTCATGCTTTGATGGAAAGTGAGTAAGCTCCCAGAGACTTGAACTGCTATCATGCATTGTAATATGTTCTCTCTCTGTGGAAAGCTCATAGGCCACCTTCCAGTATAGGGCAGCTGTGGCATTCTTGAAGTGACAAGCCACTATAGTAACCAAAGTGTGGGACGACAAAACCTGCGACGTCCCCCTGAAGCACATGATCCGTGAGATGATGATAAGTGTGCATCAAGAAGATCCTGTAAGAGGAAGCTGTTGTGTGAGCAGCCAGAAAAAATGTGTGGGTGGATGCAAATTCTCTGGCCATTGTGGCAGCATTGGAAGTGAAATGAAAACATTGTACAGGATGCATGCTGGCTTCATCACGATGCTGATGATCAACATATTAACCTAGCCAAGCTTGATGCAACGTTAAAGGACAAAGTTGGCCCTGCAGTGGAAGGTGAAAGTTTTGCATTTGGTCACTGATTCCGCATGTACAGACTGCTGAATCAACAATAGCTTGGTCAGAAAGACCCACCTGAAAACAAAGGCAGCATGTGAAATGCTTGTGTGGAGATGAATGGGGACTTTTCAGGTGGTAATTGCAGAGCATGGCCTCACTTTGGTTGTAAGGTTGGCAAAATCTAATCAAAATAAAGCTGACAAACTTACCAGAGTTCCACAGATGTGGTTGGATTTATTGACAGACACCAAACCTATCCTCTCAACATGTAATGTAGCCATTGGAGAGCTGGGTTCATGTGAAATAATAGAATTCCATCACCCTGGTGTTAAGTGCACCAATAATACTGCCAGATAAGTCAATCCCCTCATACCTAGCACAGCTGCCAAGATGGTAGTCCAGAAGTGTCCTGAATGCCAGTCCATAGATCCAACACTGGTGCACTGGCAGAATGGAAGACTAGGGGTTTGCAGTATGCGGTCCAAGCTGGGGATGGATATTACACATTATGGCCACAGTTATTACTTGACCTTCATTAACTGCAGGCCAACGTTTCTCTGTTTGGCAACCAATAGTGCACAAAGACATTATTCGACAGTTGGAGACTATATTTTGTGAGAGAGGTCTGCCATATGAAATCCTCACTGACAACGATACTGCATTCACCATCAGGTCGTACAAGGTTTTCATGTAGGAATGGAACATCCAGCTGCACTTTCACTGTGCGAATGTAATGTTCAGAAACAGGATATTAGAAAGGTGCCATAGGAGCATAAAACAGATTGCAGTGTGGAAACAGTGCCCCAAACAAGATGCTGTTTACTGGTATAATGTGACACCAAAGGATGACACACCAAGATCAACTGAACCAGCTAAGGCAATTCATACTTATGAGGTTAGGCTCACCTGCACTAACACTATTGACAGAGCACAAGACATAGGAAGTTGGAGAGGTTGTATGGGTGAAATTACCGCATAACCAATGTACCTCCAAATTTACAACTGGGAAGGTCACTGGGATCATCAGTTCACAATTGATTGTGTGTCGCATCATGTTAAAGACCTCCGACTGGCATGAAACCAATGCTCTGCTG